TGTCTCCAGCCCCAGGGGCCCGTCCCGGGAGAATATGGTTCCCAACCTCAGAGATCCCCCAATCCTGGGAGCCTTCTTCAGCCCGGGGCCACCCCCAATCCCTGGGAACCCTGGTCTCTAGCCCCCTGGGCCCTCCGATTCCCCGGAACTCTGGGCTCCAGCCTTGAGGGGCCCATCCTCCTCTAGACTCTGGTCACCACCATTCTGCTTCCTACTCCAGTGACCCCCAGAACTTGGGGATTAGCTCTTTAATGGTCCCAGACCATTCTCCCTGGGATCTCTCCAGGAACCCGTGCCCTTCAGCGGCACGAGCCTGTCAGTGTGTGCCCTCCGTCCCTAGGGGCTCCCAAATTCTGCCAGACCCCATCTCACTAGTGCACTAAATCTCCCCCCACCCCGAGTCTCAGCATGGAACCCAGCTCTCTCCTCTCCCTGCCCCGGGGGGCTCGGGCTTCTGCAGTTGGTTCCCCATGACCCGAATTTCTGACTGGTCCCCACAGTCAGTCCTGGGGCTCAGCAGACCGCATCACTAGACGCTGGACCTCCCCCTGGGCCCTTCCCCCCAGCGCCCCCCATCGAACCCTGTCGAAGGGCCCAAGGACCCTCCTTCTCCTCCTCCTCCTCCTCCTCCTCGTCCCCATCGCCCCCTGGGGCTGTGCTCACAGTCTGTCATCCTTGTACCACTGGAAGTCCGCGGGGGGCACTGCCATGGCCTCGCAGCGGAGGAGGGCGGCGCGGCCCAGGGCCGTGCGTGCGCTGGTCACGTCCGTGATGGTCGGAGGGTCTGGCGAGGGGCGAGGGTGACTGATTTCTCCCAGCCACGAGAACGGCCCCCTCCGCCCTCAGACCCAGGGGCCCGCCTCCCCAGGGGCCCGCCTCCCCAGGGACCAGGCTCTGACAACTCACAGTTGACCGTGACCAGCACGCGGCGGCTGTCCGGCGCGGAGTTCACCCCATTGTGAGTCACGCACTCGTATTCGCCGGCCTGGCCGCGCTGGATGTCGGAAATTTCCAGGATCTCGCCCTCCGAGGTGAAGCCATCTGTGGGGGGGAGGTGAGGGAGGGAGCGGGGCCGGACACAGACACTTAACACGGGACAACACGGGTACAACACGGACACACATCAGCGGGGCGGGCACCCCGGGGCCTGGAGTGCCCGGTCGGTCCGTGGGAGCTAGGGGAGAGGCTTATTAAGGGGCCCGGGATCTCCTGCTGAGGATGAAGGAGGGAGTGGGGACCTGGGGTTTGTAACTGGAATTTGGGGGAGAGGGTCCCCGAATTGGGTCATTCAGAGGAATCCGAGATCTGGGATATTAAACTCTTGGATTTTTGTTGTCAGAAGGATCTGGGAAGTACAGATCTAGTGGAGAGAGGGCCCGGAGTTCTGTTTCCTAGCTCTGGGGGTGCAGCAGATCAGGATCTGGTGTTGTGATCATGGATCCTGCTATCTGGGATCTTATCACTGGGCTCAGAAGCCCTTACGACCTAGACTGGGATCTGGGACTTAGGGTATCCAGGATTCCAGGGTCTCAAGACCTGGGTCGTGGCATCAGATGACCCGGTAGGGGAGGATCCAGGGACCTGAGGTCTGGTCCCAGGGGATTCATGGAACAGGATCTAGTGGTTGGCAACCATGAATGTCCAAAGACTCAGCGAGCGGGCATCCAGGGATCTGGGATCTGGTGGTGGGGATATCCAGGCAGAAGAGGCTGCTAGGTGATGTCTAGGGATCTGGATGTCACCTGCTGCCCGATGGCACTATGGGGACAGCCAAGAGCTGTGGTTCTGTCACCCGGAGGGCTTGTGAGAACAGTGCAGTGAGGCGGGGCAGGCTTCTGACTTAGTGGTGACTTTGTGGGTCTGGGTGGGGCCCAGGAATGGGTATTTCTAATAGGTTCCCGGCTGCTACTGCAGGTGCAGGGACCGCACACTGAGGACCACTGGGTTCTCTCAGCAGACAGCACACTGGGACGTGGACCAGAAGGTCCACTGGGTTAAGCCAGCTTGTTGTTAGGTGCCGTCAAGTCGGTCTGGACTCCCAGCAACCCCATGTAGACCAGAATGAGATATACTGCCCAGACCTGGGCCGGCCGCACAATCCTAGCTCGGTTTGAGCCCATTGGTGCCGGCACTCAATCCGTTTTAGAGGTTCAAGAACAGGCATTTGAGTTGATGAGAATTCTGTGAGCGTGTGGGGAGACATCAGAGGTACTGGGGTCGGGGGAATGAGGCAAGTGGGGGTCTAGCAGGTGACTGTGAAGGAGGTCCCAGGCCTGGGAACCCAGTAATGGAGGCTCTGAGAATCTGGGGCCTAAGGGGAGCAGGGCAGGAGCGAATCAAGGTAGGGGATCAGAATGAGGGAGACGAGGAGGGTGGCTGGGAACGCAGCTTGGGGGTGTGCAGAATCGGGGGACTGAGACAGTGAACTGAGGGGAGGGGCTTTCAGGCAGGATGGGGTCCTCACCTCGGAGCTGTCTCCAAGTGACTGTGGGCTCCGGCCGCCCCACGGCCAGACAAAGCAGGTTCACATTGCCCCCCTCATTCACAGTCACAGGCGACGAGATGTTCACAATGCGGGCAGGGACTGCGAGGGTGGGAAGGCGAGGCATGAGGGGCCAGACACCCTCCTCCCTCAGACCCAGGGGTTCTGGTCCCCCAGCCCCTCCTTCCTCAGACCAAAAGTCCTGACCTCCGCCCCCCCCCCTCCTTCAGACCAGGATGCAGGCCCCAGACTCTTCTCCTTCAGATCCAGGACTCCAGGCCTCAGCCCCTCCTCCCTAAGGTGTAGGAGGCCAGGCCCCGGGCCCTCCTCCAGGGTTGCGGCTGATTGATACGCTGCTAGATTTCCTTAAGAGTCCCGCCGGCTCCGCCCCCTCAGGGCCTGAGCCCTCTGGCTCTGCCTCCCCTCCGCTCCTCCCCTCTGGCTCCGCCTCCCCTCCGCCCACTCCTACTCTCCACTCCTTCCGGCCCCACCCCTCTGGCTCCACCTCCCATGGCCTCGCCTCCTCTCTGCCCCTCCAGCTCCGCCTTCCCTCCACCCCCTCAGGCCTTGCCCCCTCCGGCTCCACCTCCCCCGACCTGGCCTCCTCTCCACCTCCCCTCTGGCTCCGTCTCCCCTCCTCCCCCTCCTCCCCTCTGCCCCCTTCTCCCCTCCGGCCCCGCCTTCCCTCCGGCTCCGTCTCCTCTCCGCCCCCTCTGGCTCTGCCTCCCCTGGCCTCGCCTCCTCTTTGCCCCCTCCGGCCCCGCCTCCCCCCTGGCCCCGCCTCCCCTCCGGCTCCGTCTTCTCTCCGCCCCCTCTGGCTCTGCCTCCCCTGGCCTCGCTTCCTCTTTGCCCCCTC